TTTTTTTTAAAAAAGGATTAGCAATTTGAATTTCATCAATTATATTGGTTGGGACTAGGTTGTCCGCACTGTAGTAAAAAAATTAATTTATATTTGGTGTACAAATCTTTTTGCACTGCACCATACATATTAAGAGCTAGATTGGGAGAGTGTAAATTTTATTGTATATATTCTTAATAATGTATTTTATTTAAACATTTTTTTCTGATTAGTTACAATTTTTAAATTACTAGTTTGTAACTAAGGTGGATCAGTGGTGGCATGGCAACAACGATCCTCGGTCCCGTGATTTTCGAGCAAAATATATCCAATAAAAACTCGGAATATCGCACATAAAATTAAGCTAGAATAGAACTTTCACTACGAATTCTCCGATATCTCATAATTTACAGAACTCTAAAAATTGCTCGGAAGTCACGGGATCGATGATCGTTTTTTAGCCACCACTGATCCACATTTTGTAACTACAAAGCCCATGTGTTGAAAAAAAAATACGAGTTAGGATATTTTTATCTTCACGGAATTAACGTTGAAAAGGATGAAAATAAAGCATTCATTCATTTCAAAGAATTTGCTAATATGAAGTATAATCCTAAGAAATTAATAATATTGGTTATTGTTATCAATATGGGATAGATGTTGAAAAGGATGAGAATCAAGTATTAATTTGTTATCAAAAATCAGCCGATATGGATGGGTAAGTATAAAGTGCATTCATTAATCCATATCAACAATTTAAGTTCACAAATACTTATTACTTGTTATTCTGACGTCAACAACATCACCAAATTTAACTATAATAACGATGATTTTAGAAATAAATGATTTAAATATGATAAGTAGTTTAATATATATAAATATATCCTATAATTAGACTATAATGTTACATGATAATAACTACTAATTTAAAGATTGTATAAGTCATAAGGAATCGTCAGCGCAAACGACGGGTACATGTATATAAAAATTTTAATTTAGTACTAAAATATTATGTAATCATATTTCTCTAAATTAGTAAATTAATGCTATACTTGTATTTGGGCAAGTGTAATGCCATAATATAATTTACTATCTTTTTCACATGAAAACTTAATATACATAAGCATAGGATATTTTCTTTAGACTCACGGGCTGTTAATTGCTATATCATTATATTAAATGTCAAGTTCTTCGGAAATATGTAAATCAGTTTCCCTTGAATTCAAATAAAGCAGTCGACTGGTGTAAATGGCTTGCGGATGCGTTTGGTAAGTTAGGTTATTAGATGTTAATGATTCTTCTGCAACATTTATTTGTTGATATTGCTGGCGAAATTCTGGATCTGAATCAAAATACCACTTGTCGAAATGAAGAAGTAATTCTTGAGCTGTTGGACAGAGTGTGGGATTATCGTCCCAACATTTAATAATTAATGTTTTTAAAAGTTTGGGTACACTAACAACATCCAAATTAGAGCGAAGTCCATTACATATGTCTGTAGTCAAGGAACTATTATGAGTAATATTATAGTAAGGTGGTAATCCAGAAAGTAATTCATATGCAACTATTCCTAAAGAATAAATATCAGAAGCTTGTGTATACAGCTTTCCTCTTAAGACTTCAGGAGCAACATAAGGTAATACTCCATAAATTTTTTTGCTGTCATTGGCTCATCAATTGGTTTGCATAATCCAAAATCGGTAATAAAGCAACTAATGTTTTCCAATTCCCTGCTATATCTATTCAATATATTACCCGGATGAAAATCTTTATGAATTAATCCTTGAAAATGAATGTGAACTAACCCATTTGTCATTGAAAATAACAAGCCAAGTTTGTTCTTTAAAGGCAGTTGACTATAATTTCTATCTAAATATTGCCTTAAATTACCACCTTCCAAATAATGCATTACCATTAGACAATTTCCTGTCGTGCGGTCTCGAGAAATTCCATAACATTGTACAACATAAATAACAGCATGTTCATGATCAAACAGTTGATGATAAGCAATTTCTCGTAAAATATTAACCGTTAAATCTTTAGAGTTATTTAAGCTTTTTAAAACAACGTCTTGAGATTTCCATTTAGCTTTTGATACCGCACCAAATCCCCACAAGCAAGATATTCAATGTTGGTTAATTGTCCATAGGGTATCCATTTTAATCTATCATCCTTTCGAATAAATTCATTGATTTCTGGATTACCACTCATAAGGTAAAATTCTTCCAAATAATCAGGATCGTCTAAATAATCACGAGTATCAACATCTAAGTCATATTTCTCGTCAGTTGGTTCAAAAATATCATGGTTCAAAGACTACAAAATGTTGAAATTATGACATCTAGATGATGATATATTTACAAAAAAAAAGTTAATACACTTACTTTTGACGAATTAGAATTGGCCATTTTTTAAAATGAAATTTAACTTTTTTTCAGCTCGACTTTTCACGTAATTTGTGTACCACTAACGTTTGCAATGGATTTGGATTTTTGGCAATGATCTGCATCCAATGGAATGTCATGACATAACATGCAATATAAACAAATTTGAGTAAATTAAAAATTGTGGCATAGCATATAATCAAAAATCGTAATCTAAGTCGCAAATTCTAGAAACTTTAAACAAACTACTTATGTTGAAAAAGTGATGATTAGTTAGTGATTAGGTTCAAAAATAGTTCAAAAACTAAACACTTATTTAGAAATAAAAATTATCTAAACTCTAGTGTTCATATTTTTAGCACTTTATTGGTCGTACCCGTTTAAGCTTTTACCCGAAAGGTTATAACCTTTAATAAAATCCAATAACCGGGTTTATACCCTATTGAGGTAAGAGGTTAACGGTAATATTCGGGTAAGATCAATGCTGTCTTTCAGCCAATCAAAATTACAGAATTAATTAAAAAAATATTCCGTATGCAATTACTAGTGTCTTCCGCTATGCTTCAGACAATGAACTCTGTCGTGTTCTAATAATTTATTAACTAACATTTTGCTTGATTTATATAACCAACTGAAATTCATTCTATCCTGACTAGCAATGCTGGCTAAACATTTTATATTCACTATATTTTGGATTTTATTACATGATAAATTTGATTTAAACATATACATCACAAGGTCATTTTTATGTAGAGTTACATAGAATTTTTATGTAGAGCCATGTAAAATTTTTATGTAGCTTTATGAACCCAATGTAGATTTTACATACTATTTATATAAATCTATAAATATATTTATGTAGAATTATGTAAAATTTCCAAAAAATTGCTGAACATTTTTACTTAGTATATCGAACACTGCTTACCTTAGTCATTTTTGAGAAATAACCAAGCAAATTAATTCATTTTTATGTAGATATAAATCGAATTTATATAATCTTTATATTTATATAAATAATACATAAAATTTATATAACTATTATATTAAGTCATACATAAAAATTCCAACTATGTAAGTCTACATTGGGTTTATAAATCTAAATAAAAATTTTATATAACATTTAGATAACTTGATAGAGCTATGTAGATTTTATAAAAAAATGACCTTGTGATGTATCTTAAGTCAATAATTTACTAGGTAAATGGAAACCACTTAAATCCGAAGGAAAAATTAACATAGATATTCCGACAAAATGGAGGATAATGATTGTTTTATCAGGTTAACCAATCATAATCCGTAATTTTCGGACACACACATTTGTGTGACGTGACCCTATTGTCTGACCATAAAGTCAATATAGTATAAATATTTAATGCCATATGGTATTTTATCAAACATTTATAAACAAAGAAATTCTAAAACATATTAGTACGTAAACGATATACGTACGTACGTACCAATTAAAAATTAATGATCTACGTATATCTACGTGTATCAGATTTTTATTAGGATTAATCGTAAGGACAGGTTTCAGCAGGATTACGGTTGTTTTAATCTGATGCGAATATTAATTTAGCACAACATAAAACTATGATAGTTATATTTTACCTTATTCTATCTTAAGTTATCGTTTAGGTTAACAGGATATCTTAATTATTTATCCGTTAATCAATTCTATCATCCGGTTATCCGGTAACCTGAAGGTTAATTGGTTACAATACCCTAGGGTACGATCACTACTAAAACGCATCTATTAACTTAAAAACTGGCTAATCGGTTAGTACTGTATGCGGTATTATAAATAGAAATGCTCTGCGCTCCCAAAAACCTATTCGAATCTTAAATTTAACCTAAATATTAACCCTAACATAGTAAAAATTTTATATATTAAAATTAAGAATTTTGCTATTTATCACCACTGGTGATCATCACCGGTGTTGCTATATCTCAAAAACGTACTAAGTAAACGG